AGGTGTGAGCAGGTCGGCGCCAGACCTAAAAGAAGGACCTGAGCACACCCAAGCCAGGCCTAAGTTACAGGGTAGACCTGAGCTGGTAGGACCAGGCTAGCAAGCAAAAGAATAGTTCTGAGCCCAAGGGCCAGGTGATCTAAGATAAGAAAGGCCCGAGCAGATAAGGCCAGGTCCTTAAGAGTGTGGAGGAGGCCTAAACTGTGAGGCCAGGCTATCATAAGGAAGGCGTGGGCAGACAGGGCCAGATCCTTAAGATTGGGGAAGAAGGTCTAAGTAGAGAGGCCCAGCTATTGAGATGTTGTAGAGAAGGCCAGGCCACTTGAGAGTGGGGAGAGCCCAAGCTGCCATGGGCTAAAGATGAGTGGCGACGGCCTGTATAAACAGACTTTAAACACCATCAGGCCAAGGGAGAGCATAGGGTCTGAGTGGCAAATAGCAGGCCAGTTTGAGGAGCGGGGCCTGAATTAGGCATCATCAGGCCTATAAGACTTGGAAGGGGCTTGGAGATCTGCCAACAGGCCAGCACATGTGGAGAAGGCCTGAACAGGGCTTACACTGGTAACAATAGGCCAGCCTGAGTGGAGAGGGCCTGCACAGGGCCTGGGTGTGACTGTGGCACCCCCTGGTGACTCCGTGACTGTGCCTCACTCTGCCCCAGGGGCACCTTCCCATTTCACCTGCCACACCTTGATGGAATAAATAGGTAGGCTGCCCACAGGCCCTCGCCAGGCCTCAGTCCCACTGGACCTTGCTGCGTCCAGGCCCCCCGCTTTGCCTCACTGGTAACTGTGTCACTGAAGGCACCTCAAGCTTTAAGGTCTAATTGCATGGCTCCAAATCCTTCCCTTTACTATGCCCCATGCCTCGCAGGTGTTACAAAGATGTTATTCCCTCTGTTGGGGCTTCGGCCTCCTTGGCCTCAGCCCCTTTAATCTAGCTAGGCCTTCTAGCCTAGGCCCACTGTGTCAGATCTAGCTTTGAGGCACTAGCTTCAGTTTGTCCCTTCCAGTCGCCAGGCCCCTGGCCCCTGTCTGCTGGGCCCCAGTCCTCTATGTGGCTGCACCCCAGGCCCCTGTGTACTTGAGCCCGCCCCCAGCAGGGCTCAAGGCAGTCGAGTGTCCACTGAGCACTAATAAGGCCTCCGTATCTCCCCTCATCCCAAACCTCTGGTAGAAACAGTAGTGTAAAACATATCCTGGGCTGTAACATAACAATGGAAGCAGCCCTCTGCACCTTTAAAAGGGCAAACCTTTACCCCAAATATAGCATACCTCCCTGTTTCTGTAGGCAGCACACAGACAGCCCAGCACCCCTGGGAGGCTCCCCTGGGCAGGAGTTCCTTCCCCTGCAGCAGCCAGTAAAAGACTCCCCTAACCGAGCTTCAGCCTTCCACTTTTAAGTTCCCAGGGCCCTGCCTACATTCGGTCAGCTGATCACTTGCAGGGGTCTGCTGATTGCCTCACTTTGCCCTGTTGCCCTGGCAACTGGCAAGTGCTATGCCCTGCCTGCCCTGCAGTGCTCCTTGGCTGGGCTGTCTTTTTCTCAAAGTAACAGAGGGCCCAGGGTTCTCTGTTACAGTGTATAACAACAAACCATACAGGCTATGACTAAGTGATAATGGAATAGGACAAAGTAGAGGTCCAGGAAGTCATGAGCTGAGGCGGAGGTCAGCTCAGATAGTAAACAAGAAGTGGATCAGCACTAGACAGGACTATAATAGGAGTGTCATCTGCAAGGCATGGTCCACAGTGTAGGGAAGGTCGGAGCCATGGGTGGTGGCCCATAAGGCCGAGGCAACCAAGACAGCATGCACCACAAAGATCATGGTAGCCTCCCACAATCCAAATATATAATATCCCAACAAACACATGGCAGGTGAATGCAGGCAGACATCACAAATAAGCAGGCACAAATTTTTTTTTTGGTGGATGCCCTGACTCCCCGGTTACACCTTCACAGAGCAAATGTTGCTTTTGTAGTCACATGGCTACAATAGAAGATTTCTGAGCAGTGGTTAGCAAACAGTGTGGTCCAAGTTGTCTCTAAACAGTCCCGAAATGTCATGGTTTGATGAGGAAGGACTGGGGGGTCTGTGCAACATGTATAAAAATATAAATAATAGGGAGAGGCCTCTTGAAATAGATGCTTGTTCTGCTACCAATATCTGTATTAAAATAGAGCTCTGGGAAGTCTAGGGAGTGAGGGATAGTCTATGTGGTTCAAACAGCAAGAAGGGCAAGGTCTACACTAAAAAATGGTTTGCTGGCCAACTGTTCTGGAGCAGATGTCATTATACTAGTGAAAGAGTGCTCTTGCCAGCTGGTATCATTCCCCAAGCAAAATAAGCTATCCTGGCAAATGTATTTCTATGCTAGCATGTTTGTGCCTGTCCTTAAGACTTTGACCAGTATAAAATGCTGTAAAAAATAAGCACTGCCCTAATTAATTACTAGCCTGAGCAACGTTTCTAGTGTACATGTCTTTCTCTTAGTAAGTAGCTCATTTGTATAAGCAGTAGACAGAAGAGAGATGTTCAAACATGTTTGCCACCTGCTAGGCTCAGGCTTTGTTATGAATCCTTTGACAACACAGGGATTCTTTGTATTTGCATGTGACAAGAATGGAAAGTCCCATATCAAAATGAAAGTGAAAATACTCATCTTATAAAATCACACGTTATGCAAATACAGTTCAGTTCTAGTGCAGCATTCAGTGCTGGAGCAGCGCTCAGTCGGAGAACAGCTGACTAACAAAACACAAGGCTGTAGAAGCTGTAGTAGAGAAGATCGACAAAACAGAACGTGGAGTTCTGCCTCTTCTTGATTTGGGAATTCAGCATTCAGTATGATGCCTCTCCTGTAAGTATCCTCCCCATTGGCTACTCTGTTTTTGAGATGTTGTTTCTGAAATTATACTGCACATGTGAAAAACAAGTCTCTTTCCTGAGCCTTTTAAAGAGACACCAGCAATTTAAATCCCTGCTCCCATGTGATTTTTTTTACTTGTTTCTCTTATACGTAGAATATAAACTCAATCTAATCAAAAGGGATATGGGGAGATATTGTTTACTTTCCATATTTGTTTCTTTTGTGTATTTGATGATTGCGTGGTATAATCAGTTTCTTTCTGCATTATATTTTGTGAGTTTGACAGCACTCTTTGTGTAGCAAATATCACATATTCATGTCAAATTTTCATGCAGCAACAGAAAAGTGAAAACAATGTTTTAAATAGAAAAATTAACTAAAAAAAAAAAAAATAGAAGCTGTGACAAAACCCTAGGCTGTCAGGGTGCTCCCAGAGATGCACCTGTTTGTGTAAGTTTACCAGTCCCCCACTGCATTGTGGGGGTCTGCCCAAGTTACTGATCTGCCCAGAAGTTATAACTGACCATAGGCAACTGAGTCAAATGACAGAAAAAAATAAAAGGGTGTATTTCATAGGAAGAAAAAGTGATCAAATGCTTTGACAACAGAATATGGTAAAACGAACCTGACAAAAACCGACAACCTCCTTAGGCTACTCTCAGACTACCTCCTAGCCTTCATAAAGTGTCAATGAAAATTCCCCCAGGGTTAACCACCTCCTCACAGTCCCAGCCAGCTCCCTCCACCCAGGGGCCTCCAGTCCACCTTTCCTCCCAGGGAGCCCTCCCCTGCCTGTCGCTCCTTCCAGAACATTCCACACAGCTCCTCCCACACTGACAGAGCGACCAGATGAGATCAAGGATAAGTAAATACCTAAAATTACCCTCCTACAACAACATGCCAACCCTACCTAACATTCCTCTTGTTTCTTCCCCCTCCCCCGTCTCCTCCCTTTTTTCCAGTGGGTTAGATTTGTGGTTGACAAGAGTTGAATTGACTGAAAAAGTAAAATGAGATTATTGGCATTTCTGTGATGCATCTCCCTGACTTTCTTGCTTGAACAAAGCCAGGGTGCTCCAATCACATCACCTTTGTCTGCAGAGCCAAATTTTTCTCTCATGTCTGCAGGGCAGAGGTGTTAATTTCAAAGGGGTTAAGGAACCATGGAGAAGCAGTGCAGATGACAGCAGAATCAGAAACCCGGGGTTTTTTGTGTATGCGACAAGGTGTTCCTAAGAGCACTGATTAAAGATTGACCTTTGTGCTCTGCTAACAATGCCTACAGGTGTTTAGGGGCCATGATCTAACTCACGGCACTTTATACAAAGTGCCATGAGTTAGAGCCCCCTCCCCACTGACCCAACAGACACCTATTGGATTGGGGGAGATTAAGCCTGCCTGCACCAGCCCTGGCCAGCAGCTGGGAGCACTCCACCGGCCTCCAAGGACACTGACAAACCATCCCTCCCCACAGCCTGCCCCGCATCCTCCAGCTCTGGGGCTGCCAATGGGGGAGAGAGGGGGAAAGAGAGGAGGCATCACAGAGCTGCCAGTAGCTTTACCAGGCTGGAGCTGGAGGGGGGAAGGTGAGGTGGCCTGGCCCAACTACCCCAATACTATAGCTGGGTGGGGGGAGGGAGGACACAAGGTGAGGGGGCTCTGTTCCTTGCTTAGCTATCTAGCATTAAGTTATACTCAGCACCTTGCTTAGCTATCTAGCATTAAGTTATAAATGAAATCCTGAAACCCTACACTCAGCTGCTGCCTTAACCACAGAGGCACCTAAATAGCCTAGGTACCTCAGGGTGTCTACATGGTACAATGAACTGCCAGCCAGACTTACCAAAGCTAGCTCTCAAGCTCAGGGTCTGGTCACACATTACACTAAGAACATGTTTTATTGTGGTTTTCAGTTACTGACTGGTCTGTCATTTTCCTATCTTCTTTACTTAATCTGCTGTTTGCACTGTGAGCAAGACCTGAGCCAGAAAAAAAGGAATAACAAAACAACACCTTACTAATCACATACAAGTTCTTCTTTTGCTTAAAGGCAGACAAGTTTTGTTTGCTTAAAAGCATGCAACATCAGTGAAAGAGAAACCTGCTGTCATTTACAAGAATCTCAAACACAAAAGCCTTTCAGCAGCAGTAAGAGGATATCTATAGGGCCTTTGTGCATTTTGCACTTAGAATGTGTTTTATTTTAGATCATAGTGTTACTATGAGTTTAAAAGTTTTCTGAGCAGCTGCACGGCAATGCTTGCTAAATAAAACATGTCATAAGTGCCAAAGTCATTGAAGACTCTGGTACACTGCAGTGTGCTGCAGGGGCTGGGACCAACAAACAACCTTTTTTGGTCCCAGCTGCCCCACTGCACCAGAGTCTCTTGATAGTATTACCTCCATGGAGCAGTGAGGTGTTAGCTCAACCCTTTAGGTGTATGATTGAGAGCAGGGGTGGGCAATTATTTTGGCTGGTGGGCCACTTGAAGAGTTTTAGTAAGCTGTTGAGGGACACGCACATAAAATCTTTCAGGAATAATAATTTTGAGAAATTATAGATAAAAAACAAATCGTACACTAAAATCAAATATCTACTACAACATATTTTAATTTTATTTAAAAAATCTTTTTGCCCTGATTTTTTTTTTGTGTGCAGCGTATATATAGAGGTGATTTGCATAATAAAAGGGGGGTGGGAGGTGTAGAGTACGGGGG